CTTTCGTCGTCCGTGAGATTTGAACCCTAGACCTGCTACTTGGAGAGGGTGACGACTTGACCACTTCACTAAGCCGCCACACCTCTGATCAAGTGGTTTCTCTCGAACTTTCTCTTGCTTTTCTGTTAGTTTTTTAAATTTTTGTAAAAAGTAAGAAATTTAGCTTACTTTTTTCAAAAGATCAACATTGTTTATTTTTCAAATTTAGATAAACTTGGTAGAATACAATTATGTGATGTGTTTACTTACAAATACAGTGCTACTCTAAGAAAGTTGAATCAGGACCTTCAGTTAAAAAGATATTTAAATATGATTATAAGTCAAAATCATTATATGTTAAGATAAAGAGATATATAATCGTTGCATTTGTTATATAATTTTTTAACCTTGTACAGATTATAATAGTACATTCTTGTTATATAAAGAGGTAAAATCTCTCTTAACTATATCTTTGTTTTATAAAATTTTTTTTTATTTTTTCTCAATTTTTTGGGGGTTTTTTTTAATTTTTTATTTCACTTTTTTTTCTTTTCACTTTTTTTTTGTTTTCCTTTTTAGTTATAATTCATTTTTGTTTTTTATAGAATTTTTTTTGTTTTAATAAATCCAGTTATCTGTAATCTGATAGAACAGAGTTGCTTTTAGGCCTAAGCTAGGTTTTTGTACCATAATATGAATCCCAAGTAGAATCAGACTTTTTATCTTTATATTTAATATATTTATATTATTATAAATACTAATAAATTAAATAAGTCATGGCCAGACCTATCGACAATCAAAAAATATATATATATATATTATTATCAGTATACTTTTTAAATATACTGTAAATTAAAAATATTTTGTATTAGTAAATATTGATCTAAATTAAGTTTAATTTAGACCAAGATTAAATTAATTTTTTTTAATATCTAATAAAAAAAAATTACTATGTCTAATTAAATTATTTAAACAATTAGACATTGTCAATATTATAACATGCCATATCTAATCTTTATACTAATTTTAATTGTCCGAAGCGAAGCGTAGGACTCATACTTCTACGTTAAGTGATAACCAAAATTACCTTTTTGATATATTTATAGTAAAAATATTTTCCGGATGTAACGCCCAAGTAAACCTTATCTCGACTTCTAATAAAAGTTGTAGAGGCGTGTCTTGCGATCAAAATGGCAGTTAAAACGTTAAATTTGGATCAGTAGATCGCGAGATATAAGCATTTTTGTCTTCGCGATTATATGTTTTCTTCTTTATAAATAAAGAAAGCATATACTGTAGAAGTAAAAATTAAAATACTTATATCTCGCGATATACTGGGCCGATTTTAACGTTTTAACCGCTATTTTGATCGCAAGACAGTATTCTACAACTTTACTTATAAGCTAAAAAGAGATTAACTAAGCAAAATTTTAAAATTCACAACATTTTTTATAATTTTATTAATAAAATTATAGAAAATATTAAAATCCACAAAATTGTAATACTTAAGCCTACCTTCATGTTCTAAGTAAACTTGTTCTACGCATAAAAATACATCGTATAGGTATACGTTTACATTATAAATTTAAATTTTAAGAGAAAAGATGCTTAATTTTGAAATTTTGATCAAAAATCCAAAATTAAGCATTTTTTCTCTTAAAATTTAAAATTATAATGTAAACGTATACCGATACGATGTATTTTTATGCGTAGAACAAGTTTACTTAGAACATTAAGGTAGAATTAGATAGTAAAATTTCGTGATTGCAATATTTTCCATAATTTTATTAATAAAATTGTGGAAAATATTAAAATCCACAAAATTGTACTACTTAAGCCTACCTTCATGTTCTAAGTAAACTTGTTCTACGCATAAAGATACATCGTATCAGTATATGTTTACCTTATAATTTTAAATTTTAAAAGAAAAGATGCCTAATTTTGGATTTTTGATCAAAAATTCAAAATTAAGCATCTTGCTTCGGACTCACACCGGTTCCCGGTTCCTAGTTTTAAATTTAAAATTTAAAATTTATAATAAAAAGATAATTGCTATTTGTACACCATGTGTATGTATACACATATTGATATTTTTGAAATCCTGATTATATAATAGCTTTTGGGGGTTCTAACAAAAAATATTCCCTGCAAAATTTTAGTATAAACTACTGTATAACCTCATCTAACCCTAAAGCTACCCTCATCCTAACCTTAAACTATACTCATTTTTTATTTACAATTTATATATTAAGCAAATTCGTAAATCAATAAATTAGTATGCGTGTATATACACCTGGTGTAAATTAAAATAAAAATTGATAATAAATAGTTAAAATTTATAATTATAACCACTGAGGCAAATTAGTTAAAACATTAAAAAAAAAAATTATATTATAAGAATTAAAAAATTAATCTTATATAGTTTTACTTTAATTATATACTGTATATATTTAAAAAATTTTTTTTATATAAAATAAAATTATACTAGTAAAAATTCTTTTTTTTTTTTTTTTTTGTAAAAATTCTATATAGCATAAACTTTTACATTAGCTATACAGTATATATAAATATAAATTGCCTTATACTGTGTAAGTATACTACAGTAATTATTTTGTAAAAGCATTTTATATTTAGTCAATTTAAATAATAATTATTAGTTTTTAGCCACCCTTTTTCACCACATACAGTAAGTATATTTAAAAAAAATTAAACAAATAAAAATACTAACTAAAAACAATTAATTTAAACAATAAAAAATGATTGTCTTATACAGCAATAAGGCGGTGCCAACGTTTGCCCGATGATTTCAGTCACGAGAAAATGAAATGCATATGAACACGTGTATGCGTAGAAGATAAGATGCGGTTCGAATTATTTTGCATGAAGAAATCGATTAAAGAAAAAGGTCAATGAAAAATTGTAAAATAACAAAAAGTTTCGTAAGAGTATAGCGAAAAGTGTCGTAATTAAAGGATTTACAAGTAATCGTCTTTGGTTAGGGAAATGCAACTCTGTTTCGTTATTGTCTACCTTACATACTCTATTGTTCACCCCATTCAAGCATTCGGCGAAATTAGAATGAAATCCTTAAAAAGATAAGTAGAACTATTAAATTAATAAATGAATTTTAATACGTAGTATTGTTAATAAGGATTTATTCGCGTTCTTTCTAGTTAGAAATTCAAGGATATTCACACAGGTGAGAGCGTAAGATCTAAACTCGAGAGTAAACTGGCTGTTGAATGAAGTTAATCTTAGATCTTCGATGGTAGTTAGGCCAATGATATTAAAAGCCTAAAAAAACTAAGTTTGAATATGATCATGGTTTGGAGACTAAGGACCACTTTGATCAATATAACCGTTATTTGACAATTACATGCACTGATTTGAATAACTAACAGGCAAATATCGAAGTACAGGCATCAGGACAAGGACAAGGACCTTGTTTAGTACTTTTATTACAGTACTATTAACATGGTGCACTATAAATAGGATCATGGCTCGGAGATTAAAGTGGTACAAAGACCGAATGATCAGTATCATGAAGTCATTAGCATTTATGCTAAGAGGGACATCAAGAAATAGATTTTTGGGAAAAAAAAACAATAAACAAGATTTACATTAACATACAACGAATGGATTACTAAGCTAAGAAGTCATTAAAAAATCGAAATTCTTTTATCGCTATTGACATGTTTACTTTTATCATACGATAAATATGAATAAACAACATAAAATGAATATTTTAGTTTTATGAAAAAATTTGAATACTATGGAATTAGTGAATTGATAAGAATGTAAAGATATAAGAATTTTATAGTTCAAAATGAGGAATGAATACTGAAGTATAATAATATGCTATGTATCTGAGAGACACCTATTCTCATATGTGTATTCTGAAATAATACAATTTAATTTTGCTGTTGAGCTTGATATTTAAGACGTGATTGTGCGAACAAGAGTTCTTGTTGCCTCAATAACTCTTCTTCAGTCATTCCGGAATTTTCTAATCTCGAACTTTTCTTATCACGATCCTAAAAATAAGAAATAAAAAAAGTATTAAAAATTTAAAATTGATAAAATTTGAAAGAAAAAAAGCGATACCATAATTTATTTATTTTTTATAAAACATACTTTTTGCAGTTTTTTATGTTCTTTTAAGACTTCTTGTACTTCACTAAGATAATTCTCAAAACCCAAATGCTATTAAGATTAATTAATAATTAATTAACATTTAATTTTCATAATTGTATATAATAGACTAAGGAAAAATCAAAGAAAGTAATTAAAATACTTTAAGGGCATCAATGACATGTTCCGCAGCAATCGTTTTTTTAGCGTCTTTTTCACATATATCGTTCGCTTCAGAAGCGATCAAGTGAATAAATTCTATATATATAAAAGGAGAGTAATAATAGTAATAATAATAATAAAAAAATTGAAAGTTATTATTATAAAAAACAAAAAGATATTTAAAAAATTTTTTTTTACAAAGTTTCGAAATGCGTAGCCACACTTACCGACACAACAATCTATTAGTAAATCACGGGTATCCTTAGCACAATTAATATCAGGCGGTAACATTTCTGTAATAAGTTTTGTGACGGTAGCTTTATTAAAGAAGAAAAGTTAGTTTAATAAACATTAATAAACAAAAGAAAATAAAAATAAAGAAAGACGAAGAAGGTTAAAGGAATTAAAGAGTAAACAAAAAGCCAACCTTTCGGAAGTGACAAGTCGTCATCCGCACCGTTATTACCAATCGTTTCTCTATCGCTCATTGTGACAACAAAGATTTCTTAAGACCGGATAGACGTATAGTGAGGTTACCATTGTATTGAGGATTTAGCTTGTCTTTATATAATGAAATATGGTTTCTCAACTATTCCGGTCTGTCCAAAGAAATGCCACTGCTCTATGAACGGAAAATTTGAGGTTCGGAATTGAGACCCCATAATTTAGGTAATAATTCACAGCACAGGAACAATGTTTACATAATTTTGGCCGAATTGATCACAGATTTACATGGTAACACTGATTTACTCATTTACATAGAGTAAACGATTTTACTAGAATATGTGTAATGCCGCGTAATGCCGCATGCATAATACACGTGAGCAGAATTTTTTTTTAAATATTGTACTGTATATACCGATACTATATATACAAATCTATAATTTAGAATTAACTTCAATACAAGATTAAGTTTTTAAAGAGACTTTTTTAATAATCTTGTCAGTGATATTACTAAGCACTTTAAACAAATTTGAAGCAGAGTATTTTTTAATCAAATCATTATCAGGTGAAGGATCTTGATTTTCTACTATGAGAGTTAGGGACGGATCAATTGGAACACGCCCTATTTAAAAGAAAAAAAAAAAAAGTTAAGTGACCGTAATTAAGAGCTTGCAATTAAATGCTTGAAATTACATTAAATTCTTGCAATTAATGCTTTAATTAAATGTTTATAATTAGGGTCAAAAAAACTCACCTAGAAACTCCACCCCAAATTCATGAGCCATTGCTTCACCACCACCGGTTGAGAACAAATTCGTACATTCCTAATTAATAATAATCAAGAAATCATATTATTATAATAATTAAACGAGAAGTAACTAAAAAACTGAACAGGAAAAAATGAACTATTATTAACCTCACAATGTGGACATACAAATCCACTCATATTTTCAATAACACCTAATATAGGTAAATTCACTTTCTTGCAAAAATTTAATTCTTTACGCACATCTGCTAATGCAACCGCCTAATGAAATAAATTTAAATATTAAAATTTTTTTAGTTTTTTTTTTAGGAATTCATAATGAAATGAGTAAATTTATAAACCTGTGGGGTAGTCACAAGGATAGCACCATCAGGGTTAGCATCTTTCAAGTATTCCACGACGGATATATGTTCATCTGAAGTACCTAAAAATCATAATAATAATAATAATAATAATACAATATCTTGTGAAAGTATAAAGTATAGTACTACTACTATTTAAGAGCATACCTGGTGGTGTATCAATAATTAGGTAATCCAATTCACCCCAACAAACATCCGACAGAAATTGCTTAATCATTGCTATAACAATAATAGAAATCAGTCATGAAATATATAACTTTAATATTTAGTGTGTAATAGCTAATTCTAATCTCCATTAATACTAACCATTTTTTTTTGGACCACGCCAAACAACGGAATCATCTTTCTTTTGAAGTAAAAATCCAATTGACATGCAACATAATTTTTGATTTTCATCCATAAAAACTGGAACCCAACTTTTTTAAAGTAGAATTAACGATGAAAAGTATTTTTGAGATTTAATATTCATAATATATATATATATATATATGAACATTAATATAAGCAGTCTAGTTTAAGACCAAAAAACCCGACAAAAATCGTATTAAACATACTAACCCAGAAGATGCCTGATGAACCTGTCTATTTTCAAGCCCAAACATCTTCGGTATGCTTGGGCCAGTAAGATCAATATCAAGAATTCCAACTTTATGTCCTTTCTCCGCAAGACATAGCGAAAGTTGTGTAGAAATTGAACTTTTTCCAACACCACCTTTCCCGGATAAAACCAGTATAATATGTTTTATATTTCCAAGTTGTAAATCAGACATTATGAAAGCTCGAAAATCAAGATTGTTTTAAAGAATAAATTTTTATATAATCTCCTAAATGATGTTACACACATCAGGTATCTGATATTATCGATGTTTTTTAACGTTAACGTTAAGCATGCATGCAGGATTCTAATCTTTTTGTTGCAGGATTCAACTATAAAAGGCTACGATAATTGAATTCGTCAATACATTATATAATAAATTATATATAGTATATACTGTATATAATATCTGATATATATATATATAATACATATCGATATCGATTATCGATATAAATTTATGATTTTTTCAATCGGAAAGTTTTCTTACCAAAAATTTAATACACCTGTTAACAAAAAGAATGACTAATATTGATTATATCATCACATTTGCAGTTATTATTAGCGTTAGTTCACTTCTGAATTTCATTATAAAAATAGTCTAAACTTACAGTATTTTAATGTTTGAAGTGCTGCTATATTATTAGTATTCTACTAATGATTCTAATGATAATTCTAATGATTCTAATAATAGTAAAATCATTAAAATTTGTCCTGTGTACAGTGCCGGTGTATCAAAATATTTTTTTTAAATCATGTAATCGACCAATCAAAATTTGCAAATTCTTTATTAAATTACCAAAGTGAAAAAAGCAAGAATTCAAGCATGTTTAAATTTATTTAACTATAAGAGAATATTTGACACGAGAAGAAAATTTTTATAGATGCTTACATGTTCACAAATTTCAGAAATTGAAATTCCATTTTTTTTTTTTAGAGGACAATCCCCAAAATTCCGAGACGAAATTCGACTATGTCGATCACATGATTATCAGCGGAAAATTTTACTTAATGAATGGGTTATCTGATCGGTATTACTTTATGAATTTGAAATTCAACCAATTCCGATAGGATTTTTGGGGATCTTCCTGTATTGGTTACCAGAAGGTACAAATTTTGAGACACATTAAAATCAAAATATTTGTTTTGTTTTTGGTTGACCTTAGGAGTGTATTTTGATGAAAATCTTAAAATATTATTTAAAAAAAAAGGTATACATATACGATATAAGATATTATACCCTTCTTTCTTTTTATTAAAATTTTTAGCAATGGTTATGTGAAAAATGCTCTTCTGTATCACTACCTTGGCTTAAGAGTGGTAAGTTAGAAAAGTTCTAGAATCGCACCTAACTATCGATAAATCGAGGCTGTGTACCTCTTTGCCCAAGGCTTAAAGATTTATACTGAGTTGCAAAAAGATATAATTATTTGATACATTACGGCGGCGCTTTTTTTACACTACCCTAAAATTTATGACAGATACGATGCACTGTTAATATAAAATATTTTAACCGAGATTAAATTTTACAGAAGGGGTTGGTTTTTAAGGTTTTAACGCGATAACTATACTATTTGATTTGATTTGGGGTTCATTTTAGTATATACGTCATTGGGGTGCGCTGCCAACTATTTAGATCAAAACTATATGAGTGCCGTCAAGGGAAAACCCACATGCTGGCTTTCAATTATATTTTGTGTGCAGTTAGTCGTCTATGGAAGATAGATTTTCCATAGACAGCTAACTGTACACAAAATATAATTGAAAGCCAGCATGTGGGTTTTCCCCTTGACGGCACTCATATGTGGTATCATATAAAAATCATATTGGATTTTTTTTTACAGCCTATGTCAGTACGTTAGTGATCTTGACAGCATTACTATTATTAAAAGAATATTTAGCTGATATATGATTATTATTATTATTAAAAAACCATCTTTAAATATACAGGACGAATTATATTATTTTTTCGAATTTTTTTACCATAAAATCAATCTTAAACATATTTCTAACAAAGTTACGTTCAACTTTTAAATACTAATATTTGAAGCATAACATGAATTATTTTAATAAAATTATTGATATATCAGATACAGTATACTAAAACATTTGAAAAAATAATATAATTCGTTCTCTACATCTAAATATATCCATATCAATCTTTGCTATTTTAAAACTTATATAAAAAGTGATAAACCACCAAGATCATTGTCTCAATCATTAAATCTAAAAAAAAAATCTCCAATAATCAATTATATGATATCCACACAGTTTTGATTTACATAGTTGACAGCACACCCCAATGCGTCATGTGATTGACACGTAACCATTATTATAGGCCAATTCCAAAAAGTCACAGTAATGAATTATTTATTTTACCTATTTTCTACAGGGGGATCCCCAGATTTCCGGGTCGTAATGGCCGGAATGCTTCGGGGTTAGGGCTGAGTTAGGGTTAGCGGGATCTATAGGCTATAGTAAAATTATCAGCTGGGCACTTTTCACTTAATGAACGACTATTGTTTCATTACTAAAATTCTTAGTGATCTTGGGCCAAAATTGATCAACTCCGCCCTTCCGGCAAGAGTTCCGAAGCGTCCGACCCGGAATTTTGGGGATCTCCCTGTAGAGTTATTGAACCTACGTAGGTGTCGCGCATTAACCATAGCTGCCGCAACAAATTTGGACCGGCAGATCCTCGATTTTGATTGGCTAAGAGCGACGATAGAAAGATTAGGCCGGAATTACTCATAACTTTACTAATGAAATCATAGCTGCCCATTAAATGAAAATTGTTCCTGGGCCAATTTTACAATAATGCGGGCTTATTTTTTAAGAATTTCTATTTTTGTAATAGAAAAATTAAAGTTAATTCCGGCCAGAAATTAGTAACCAAATTTGTAATGTGGGCCAAAATTTCGAAGATCCTCGGTATTAGCCAATCAAAATCGAGGATCTGCCGGTATTTGTTGCGGCAGCTATAGTTAATGTGCCGCAGATCCTCGATTTTGATTGACTAAGAGCGGCGATCAAAAAATTAGGCCGGAATTACTTATAATTTTACTAATAAAATCGCAGCCGCCTATTAAATGAAATTTGTTCCTGGGGCCAATTTTACTATAACGCGGGCTTATTTTTTTAAAAAAGTTTCTATTTTGGGGAACTAGGGTTGTCAAATTACCATAATTTTATGTAATTTTATGTAATTTTGTGTAAGTTTACAGTAAGCTGATTTTTATGTAATTTGTAATTTTGAGTACGCATAATTTTTTAAAATAACTCCAGGAGCTTGCGTTCAATATTTTGACAATTTTTATATCATAAAAATTAAGTGTCACATGTATTAAATATCACATATAATATAAATAATAATCTAAAATATTTGTCACACCAAGTATTGAATATACATCAGCAAATTTAATAGGGCGTAATATTGTGCAATAATTTACGAAGCGTAAGAAAACCGTAATATTACGTAATA